TTTGTAAAAATCATTACTCTGCAATCAGTCATAGAATTTTCTAGCATAATTTGTTTTTCATATACATTCTTCTGTGGCCATCCTGAGGTTCCAACCTCATGTTGTGATAGATTATTTAATCTACTAAATTTCTCTCACGCCTTGCCTCTTTTAATATGATTTTTCCTGCGCCTTACCCCAGCAGTTGGATACCATGTCACCATTCCCTTGAAATTGGGGTGGCTTTATGACTTGCTTTGACCAATAGAATGTGACAGAAATTGCATCAGGCAATTTCAAGGCCTAGGCCCCAAGAGCCTCAGTCTTTTCCGGTTTTGAATGTTGCTCCAGGATCTCTATGTAAGGAGGTCACTCCAACCTAATGGAGGAGACAAGGTTGTGTGGAGATCAGAGAAGCTGCAGTGGACAGCTAGCACTAACTGTCATACATATGGATGAATGAGGCCAGCATGGATCTTCCAGCTCCTAAGACCCCCTAGCTGAATGCAGTTGCATGAGTGAGTCCCAGTTAAAGCAGAAAAGGAAATGCTCAGTGTATAAATAGAATCATAAGAAAGAAAGAAAAACAAAATCCGTGTTGTTTTGAGCCACTGAGTTTGGGATATTTGTTATAGAGCATAGTTCTCAGCATTGTGACAACATTGAGATTATTAAAGAAGGACATCGCCAAGAATGGCAAATCCCTCCGCAGGGTCAGCTGCTGTGTTGTTAGCAGGGATGTTGTTGCTTTGGTCACGCTTGCTGCAGCTTTTCATTTTCTTCCTCCTCCAGATATATACCATTGCTTTTCCATTATTATAATTATCTGTGGTGAATTAAAGAATTAGCTGTTCTTTGTGCTAATTGGTAATTTCCTTCCTGATTCTTAAGGACTGGAACAGTAACTAGTGTGGCACTATGGGGCTGATGCGCCCCACTGAAAAGTCAGTTTGATCTGCAAGGTCAGTGGTTCAGGCTCACCAGTCACTCCTCAGAAATCCTATACAGGGTCGCATTTTCATTGTTATATAGAATTGTATTGTAGGAATATCCCATTATTTATTTTTCAGGTCGACTATTGTGTGTGTTTGTGTAATTTATCATTTTGGGCTATTACAAAGACATACATGAAGCACATTCTTATATATGTATTTTGATATGTACAGGAGATTTGTGATTGTTACTCGTGTCCTTTAAAAAAGGCATACACATAGGAAAAAGGAGCCCTGGTGGCACTGTAGGTTAAGCACTGGACTGATAACCATAAGGTCAGCAGTTTTTCAAATTTACAATCCCCTCCCTAGGAAAAAGATATTTTTTTCTTCTGTAATATGTATAGCCTCAGAAACCCTATGCAGGATGGTATACAGTGAAGTGAAATTGACTTGATGGTACTGGGTTTGGTTTGGGTATACCTTAGAGTAGAATTTCTGGGTAATAAGATCAGAATTGTATCCTTTCACCATGACCCATTCAGTCTGTAAACTGAGCAAATAATCAGAGAAGCTGGATTACATAAAGAAGAATGTGGCATCAGGATTTGAAGAAGACTCATGAACAACTTGCAGTGTGCTTGGTGGAAGCCAGAGGACTTGAAATGCTTATTGATGAATGTCAAAGACAGCCTTCAGTATGGATTGACACCTCAATTGTAATGAAAACAAAAATCCTTACAATGGGACCAATAAGTAATATCATGTTAAATGGAGAAAGGATTGAAGTTATCAAAGACTTCATTTTGCTTGGGTCCACAATCAAGCAGCAGTCAAGAAATCAAATGGCATATTGCATTAGACAGATCTGCTGCACAGGACCTCTTTAAAGTGTTCAAGAGCAAAGAGGTCACTTTGAGGACTAAGGTATGCCTGACCCAAGCCATAGTATTTTCAGTGGCCTTATATTCATGTGAAAGTTAGACAATGAATAGGGAAGACTAATCGGAGAAGCATTGATAGATTTGAATGATAGTATTGGAGAAGAATATTGACAGTACCGTGGACTTCCAGAAGAACATACAAATCTCTATTGGAAGAAGTACAGCCAAGAATGCTCCTTAGAATCCAAGGAGATCAGACTTTGTGTCTCATACTTTGGACATATTATCATGAGGGACCAGTCCCTGGAGAAGGACATCATGTTTGGTAAAGTGGTGGGTCAGCGAAAAAGAGGAAGACCCCCAATGAGATACATTGACACAGCAATGGGCTCAAATGTAACAATTGTGAGAATGGCATAGAACTGGGCAGTGTTTTGTTGTGTTGCACATAATATTACTATGTCAGAGACAACTGTTTGGCTTATAAGAACAGCTACAACAAAAATCACATTCACTTTTTACAAATCTCATATAAAACAACAAAGCCAGGTGATAAAAATGAATGTCTATTGTATTGGTGGTGGTGGTGTGCTGTGGAGTCAGTTCTGACTCATAGTGACCCTGCATAGGGTCTCCGAGGCTGTAAATCCTTACAGGAACAAAAAGCCTCATCTTTCTCCCATGAAACTGCTGGTAGTTTCGAACTGCTGACCTTGAGGTTAGTAGCCTGACTTGTAACCAATGTGCCACTGTACTGCATTAAATGATGGGAACAGTATTAGGGATGCTATAAGAGGTAGCTGTGGCACTGCAGATTAGTGAGCTGGATCGCAAAGTCAGTTTGAACTGCAAGCACAACTCTGTCTGTGTCTCTATCTATCTATCTATCTATCTATCTATCTATCTATCTATCTATCTATCTAATAGTTGCTGTTAATGTGCCATTGAGTCGGTTCCAACTCATAGTGACCCTGTATGGGGTTTCCAAGGAGTGGCTGATGAGTTTGAACCACTGACCTTGTGGTTCAAACTGACCATGAGGTCGAGTGCTTATTCTATGGAACCATACCAGGATTCATATATATACCTATGTGCTAGACTGTAAAGTCTCTTTGAATGGCAAGGTCAGCGGTTCAGGTTCACCAGCTGCTCCGCAAAAACCCTGTACAGGGTTGCCATGGGTTGGAACTGACTTGACGGCACTTAACAACAACAACACAACAGGAAATAGGTAGGATGGAAAATAATCCATATTTTGTTGAAGGGTTAGAATGCCCAGAAAAACTTTGAGCAAATTTCATGTTATCATCATCAAACTTTTTTAGGAGCTCATAACATTATGTTTTGGGTTTATATTTTCTCTACATTATAAAGGGGAAGTTTAGGCAACTGGGGCACAACTGACTGAAACTCAGTCACATATTATTAAAAAGGACACAACTCTTAGAGGATTGAGATCCCTTATGTCTCCATAAAAGAAGAGAGATACTAGCATTCTTACCAAAAGAGAAGACGACGACTCTGGTCAAAAATAATGGGAAAACGAAGCATTTTAGTCAGCTCAAATTAAAGACTCTATTAAAAAACATTGGGGTGGCTACAAGAAGATTATGTGGTATAATATAACAGACCACAATAATTTGGGTTTCTTTACATGTCACTGTGCAAAATGTGCTCTAAGCGACCAGTGTGCTGTCATCAAACATGAAGAATGGCATCTGTGTGTTCCATCACATGCTTGCTCTGGGCTGAGGCACCCTGCCAAGATAGCTACATGAATTGCTCTTCCTGTGCCCTGGTTAATCTCAAAGGAAAGGGAGGAAGAGGGGTATATAGATTGTTGAGTTTCTTCCCCTACTACCTGACAAAGTTCAAGTTTGAGAGTTAGTAAAGTCTCAGTGGCATTTTGTCCATCCTATAAGAAGGTAGTTAATGTAATGTATTTAGATCCCTTAGTAAAAGGTCAAATGATGATCAAGAGGGAGTTTGGAATCACATCCAATAGGATTGTTTTCAGAATAGATATATGCTTAAGTTGAATAAAGTGACATTTGTGGCAGACATGCAGAAAATAACCTTATATTGCTTGTTTTTGTAATTTTTGATGGATGTGGGGATTTGTAGATTATTTCCGTAAACATAAAAATTAATGTATAGATTACTATATATCTGTCTTTGTACCGTATTGACTTGATTTCTTACATTATTTCTGAATGGTCCCTGAATGTATGGATTTGGTGATGGTTTTTGTGCTTTTGCCATTATGCTTTTCCTGGAAAACAAAGTGAGCTTTTCATGCTTGAGTAAACACATTGATGTATTATGAAACTGTCAGAGTCTTTGAACAATTGGCATAAGCTCAATTATTCAAATATGTGACTCTTTTGTATGGCTTTTGTGTCAGCTAATGCTTTAGTACAACTAGCATAAAGAAATTTCATTACTTTTCCTTAAGAATTTAAACTTCAACTGTATGATTTAAAAAAAAAATGCAAAGGATTAGACTTTTTGTTGAGTACCGTCTTCATTATCATCTACAGCTAATTGGTAGCATTCATTTGCAGAGATTCATAGTTCACTTTATTTTAAAGTACATTTTTAAAAAGTATTCTTAAAACTCGTTTATACATTATTCTTACCACCTGACAAAACTTTGTTTCCTATTTTTCCTTCCTGTCTGCCCACATGCACCTATTCTTTTTTGCTTTTTAAACTCAGTGTACCTACAATTTTGTTTTCTTTTAAAGTTACTTTTTCAAGTTCCATGGTCTTTATAGTTTTTACTGCTTGTGTAATATTGAATCATTTATTTAATCATGTGTTAATAATGTCTCTTGGATAGGTGTGGTTTTCAGTGTTTCATTTTAACTGATAATATTCTAAAGAGAGGATTTGTACATTGTAGCATAACTTGTCTTGTTTTCACTTGTATGATGATAATAGATACCCTGCAATATCATTGTAACATCAGTAGACTTGAAAAGGTTTTTATTGTTTATGTACTGTCCAACTGAAGTTACAAATATCATACAGAGATATGCTTTGTCCCTAGTTTCTTTCAATGGTAACATCAGGAAATTGACATTAGTATAATCGGATCCATTTTTAAAAAACACATTGTAGTTGTGTTAAATTTCTTATTAGTTAGAAAGTTTACATTGCAAATATATGTGAGACCTATATGTGAAACTCCTTTGTCTTTCAGCAATTTTTCCAGCTCGTCAGATTACGAAAGCTTGGACTTAGTGATAATGAAATTCAGCGGCTCCCTCCAGAAATAGCAAACTTCATGCAGCTGGTGGAACTTGATGTGTCTCGAAATGGTAAGAAAAAGATTACAAATGAGTTGCCTATTCTTCTCTTTTAGTGGCAGGGTTATTTTTTAGTAAATTTTTCTGGATATATATTTTTGGGGGTGCTTTGTCTGATAATTATGGGAAATCTAATGTATATATACTTGGGCTGATGTTAATATTATAAATACAGCCATTTTTAAATAATGAAGTTAAATATGTTGTGAAGTGCCATCAAGTCGGTTTTCCAGCTCATAGTGACCCTGTTTCCAAGGTTTCCAAGGAGCAGTTGGTGAATTTGAACTGTATTTACTGAAGAAATTTCATAGCATTTTTTTTTTTTTTTAATTTTTAAGGTAGCTTTCTCAAAATAGGTTCAGTGAGATGGATTGCCAAAATGGTAGCATCAGTGGTCTCAAGTGTGGCAACAATTGTGAGGTTGACCCAGGACCGAGCAGTGTTTGGTTCTGTTGTGCAAAGGGTCGCTATGAGTCAGTACAATCTCGATGGCACCTAACAACAATAATTCTAAGTAGTTACAGAGTTACTTAGGAAATTACTTAATCTGGCCCCCCCATTTTACTGAACACAAAATTGAGGTCTGGTAATGGGCTGAATGCTGCTGAAACTAGGGGAAACCTGCCCAGGGGAAGAATTGGTTTCTCCTGGCTGGAGCTGAATTGCCTGGTATGCACAGATGATAGCAAAGCAGGGTCACATTGACTAGAACAGCAGGAACATGGGTCTCAGGCTATTTCTAGGTCAGGCAAATCTCACTGTGCTTCCTCACTTTTAAAATTTTTGGTAGATAAGATCATATTAATGTGAATTTCCTAAGCAACTGAAAAAGTAAATAAATATTAGAAAGCCTGCAGCCAGGAAGAGAGGCAGTGTGAGAAATCTTGGTTTGTGCAGATGTAGGCATTTATATGGGTGTGGGGCTGGTGTCTGGAGGCCTGTATGAGCCCCCGTTTGAGTCCCTGCCTAGCCCCTGTGTTGTGGGAGGGCCATACTTGGCTGACCACTTACTCAATTCTTGATTTTCCAGAATGCACTGCTTTGATCATGGTGGAGGAAGGTAGGGGTGTTGGTATCAGACCTCTGAAGTCAGTTGGATCAGTGCTTGTCAAATTTGAGTGTGCAATGAATTTTACCTCGGATTTGTTAAAATTGAGGTTCTGATGTAGTAGGTCTGATGTGGAACTTGAGATCTTACATTGCCAACCAGCTCCCAGGTAACGCCAACCCTGCTGGTCCAGGATGTAGATGTCACCACCCGTAAACCTGCTGCTGATGTGGTTTGGGACATAAGGTCCATCAGACTCTGCCACCGCCCTCTCCCACCTTCCCAAGTATTGTTGTTGTTAAGTGCCATCAAAGTGGGTTCAACTCATAGAGACCATGTATAGGGTATCTGAGGAGAAGCTGGTGGGTGTGAACGGCCAACCTTTTGGTTTGAAGTCCAGTGCTGATCCTACAGCACCACACCAGGAGTCCACTTTCCCATGTGGAAAGTGAGAAATCTTTAGGATATTCCTGGTTAAAGGGTAAGATGCTAATGCTTACTGAAGCTCAAGTTTGCTTTGATTCCAGAAGCAAGATTAGACGTTTCCTCATGTTCCCATGCAAGGGGAGAAAAGACAAGTTTCATGTTTCTCTCCAAAACAGCTTGTAATCGGGGAGGAGAGACATTTTCACAGGCTCATTTCATAGGGGAAGAAGAGTGGGCCAAGTTCTCCAAACACTGACTTTTTGTAGCCTTCTTCTCTGATATTTCAGGCAGAAAGTCAAGAGGATTGTTATGTTGTATTAGAATATGAAAGATGAACACAGGGAGGAAGAGGGAAATGATTATGGAGTTGTATACATGTTGAGGATTTTTTCAGAGCTAAAACTAGAGTGACTTTGAGCGGGGGAAGGGGAGGAGAATGACCCTGTGCTTGGCTCATTGCCTAGAATGGGTAGATACATCCCTGCCACTCAACACCTGGTTGACTTCGGGCAGCTCCTTCCTGGTGGTTCTGGCCCTTGTTTCAGGGACAAGACCTGGCTTCCTAAGCAAACAGTGAGAGTCCAGGGAAGTAACATCCTTCTCATGTATTAGCTAGGTGGATTATTTTCTTATCAGGCATGTGGCTAAAATACATATGGAAAAACAAAAATTAGTGCTTTTCCTGAACATGTAGCTTGTGGCATGATTTATGTATATGAAATTGGTATTTGAATATGCTGTTGAAACTTTATCTTATTTTTAAAAAAGGAGCCAATGGGTTAGAATTAAGGTCTGAAGTAGTCTTCTGTGTCCAAGTGCATACACTTCAGCGTCTGGACTCTGTTATGTCTGTTTGCTCTGCTTACCGCATTACCCCACAGTAGTAGTATCTGTCCAAGAATCTAGGACAGACTTCCTAATGCATCACGAATCCTGCCCCAAGGGTTAGTCATTTGAATTTTATAGTCTCTGCTGTAATTTGACTTACATTACAGCACTGCATCATTATCCACTGAATTCAGTGTTTTCTGAAAGTGTAAGAATTACAGAACCAACAGAGTGCACTGCTAGAGATGGTCTGAGTGTTCCTGAGAAACAGCAATTTTTAATATTCAGTCATGGTGAGAAAGTTACCCTTTTTCCTTTTGGATCACCATAATAACATGGTATTGTATTCATTGCTAGATTTATCTTCTATTTCTGATGGTGAGGATAGCTTTATAGTCATTTTAGTAATTTAAGAGGAGGTAAAAATTGCTTCCTTAAAAATAATTCTTATTCTAATTTTAAAAGAGTCAAAGAAATGAGGTAAACAATAGATCCTATAGGTGATAAACCGTTGTGGCAAAACTTGTAAAAGTGCAACAGGCATGGTGGAAGTTAAGGAGACATTTGTTAGAATCAGCAAACCATGCCAAAGGGGTCCTTTTGGGACAAAATTAGTTTATTTCTCTTAGGAAGTTTATTGTATGGAGTCCTGGTGTGGTACTGTAGGATAAGCACTGGACTAGCCACAGGGCTAGTGGTTCAAACCCATCAGTTTCTCCTGAGAAATCCTATACAGATTTGCTATGCGTAGGAACCCACTCTACAGCCCTTAACCACAACAGTGGGCCAACATGATACTGCTTAACAGAAAGGAAAGAAGAAGACACTGCCAGGGACTGTGCACCTTGGCTAATTATTTTGCAAGCTTGAATGAACCAGCACATTAGTAAGTGAGATTGTTTGGGTGTAAGCCATCTCTAGGACTAGGACAAACCTTGGGAGAAAGTAGAAAGCAGAGTCCTCATCCCTCTCTCTTCTCGGGTACAGACTTTGATTAAGTTCTTGGGTTAGTTGCCCCCTATCCAACCAAGCGATGATAATTGGTACTTCTGGTTATAGCTGTGGGTTTGTTTAATAAAATCTTAAACTCTTGGTGTGACCTTGTATAACATCAAGTCTTACTTTGACGTAGGCCCCCAAACAAGCTCATTCTGGCAAACAATAAATTCAGTGTGCCTAGAAGTCCTACATGGTTAGAACAGTTGATCTAGTTCTTTTCCTCCTTCCGTAATGATGACATGCAACCATATCAGAAATGTGGCAGAAGCCAGTTTTCACCCATTCAGAGTTCAGACTTGCCAGAGTTGAGTCATTGTTTCCTCCTTTTTTGCTACCTGTCTTGGGCCCAAGCTTACCATCCGGTTTAGCATAGAGCTGGACTTCACATTGCAGGGGCAAGTTCTTGTGTCATTGTTGTTAAAGCATTATCAGCGCAGGGAAGCACGCCACTGTGTTAGCCCTACTTAATGGGTAGAGAGCTAGTCAGTGCTCAGCCCAGAATTGCTTCTCTGCTTTTGCAAGTACTGTTGGTTCCTTATCATGAACATTCCCCGTGTCTTAACTTTTACTGTCACTTTTGTTAGGAGGAAATATCAAAAGCATATAATTGCCTTCTAATCACATTTTAATCCTAGGTAATAATCGTTTTTTAAAGTGAAGGTGGAAAGAAGTTGGAAAGAAAGTGATGATTTCTACTCTCCGTTCCTTGCAGTTTTGTTTTGCTTTCACGGAGCATTGTCTGCATGTGAAGATGTACAGACACTTTTAAACACTGAAACAGTTAGAATCATCATGAATGAATCTATTTTAATGAGCATGTAATGGGTTTTTAAAAATTCATGGAAAAATTGTATAATCCTTTAATTCCATTTTCCACTAGCTTTTTGTAGCTCCCTCATATTTTACACTTTTTTTTTCCCCCTTGCCATTCTTCCAAGTATCTAAGTGCTTTGTTGCTCCCATCTCTAGGTTATCTGTCTTCTTTCTTGGTGGCAGTGGGACCCTGTCTGTCTGTTCACTTCTCACCGCTTATATCGCAGAAGAGATAGGTTCAAGATATAACCTCATCATGTAAATGGCATCTGACCTTATAGAAGTGAGGATTTGCAACACATTGGATCATTAGATCAGGGATGAACACATCAGATCGTATCGTGGGTTGATTGTATTATATTAGTTCTCTTCATGGAGGTGATAATTATATCTGAACTGATAAACCACAGAGAATCCTAGCCCAGCCAAGTTTACACAAAACCTTAACTGTCATAGTTCACCCCTCGTCAAATGGGCCCCTGTACATATCTCCCTAAATCATCATAATTTCTAAAAGACAGCTATAAAGTCATACTGTGGTTAACATATACAGCATGCGTAGAATTGGAAACCCCATTGTGTTAACCCCAGATTCTTCCAAGTCCAAATTTTAACTTGGGACAAAATTCCTTTTAATCTGTGAATGAATCTAGAATACAAGTTACCTGCTTCTAAATACAGTGGTGAATCAGGCAAAAGGTACACGTTTCCATTAGAGAGGGGAGCAATTGGAGGAAAAGAAGGGATAGCAGGCACCAAGAAAGTTAAAAATTCAGCAGAACAATTTACATTAGTTCTCAAGGCTTGAAAATAATCCTCTGTTCTCTGAGACCATGTAGGCAGTGGCCCTGCTTCCAGACTCTGGGTGTTGGCCATACACTCTGAATTTTGGGTAGAC